TGTTTACGCCTCTTATCTCTGATGATGGACTCTAGCAGAAGCCCGAAAGCTCAGACAAGCAAAAGTATGATTCCGGTGATCGCGACGCCTTCTACTTCTCTATCTAGACTATTATATGACTCACAACGGAAACCAAAAACTCCAGAGTTCCGTAATACGTGACCGGTGATAACGGTAATTTATTTTCACTCACTTGCTAATTATCGTGGGTTTTGTCGTTGCAATTAGTTTTTTTTATAATAATTTTATTTACTATTTTCTGTTTTTGCTTGAAATATTTCTCTAACTTTCTCCACTGTCCGTACAATCCCTACTACCACCCGTCCCGTATTACATATTTGTGAGGAGTTGGTGAGTCCTAGAATGGGCTACTACTCACTGAAGCTCGTGTGATAAGAACTTCGGTAATACATGCTTTCTTACATGTAAGAAAAACAAGAGTGAATAGGGTTCATCCTGATAAAAACGTCTAATGAAAGCGAACCAGTCAAGTTGACAATGGAAAGTTGAACTGCCTGGAGGGTATCGACTTGAAGTGAGGGGAATTTCAACTTATAGTTAAAATGTTCCGTACAATGCATTTTTGGGTCATTGAAAGCCTAATTTAAGTAGCGTAACTTCTGCTGCACTTTTTATGAGTTGTAATTTCGCCTAAGTGCATTGAAATCATGAAGCCAAAGATGGGGTCCTTTGACTCCTATGGACGGGAATTAATCATTTTTCGTGCATCAATCTATGTCAGTTTGAGACAGAAATAGGTGGCTGTAACATAGTGGTTAGAGTAGTTGAAACCCTGAATCCAATACAAACAGAAAACACTATTTTCACCAACAAATTTGGACGGCTTTACCAAACATACTTGGAAACCGAAGGTCATGAAAATGACAAACATTAAACCTATATCCCTTAGACTAGTTGGGGCTACCAGATGTACATAGGTGGCAATTAGAATTCGGCTAAATATCAAGTGCTACACGTCAACCTCGGTGAAATAATCTGTGCAGATGGTAGCCCGCAAGATGTGTCCTAAACGTGGCAATAAATAAAAGAATTCGAGTAGGAGGAGAAAAAGTTTATAAGGATTTTGGGGTAATTCGTACTCGTAGGCTGCAATCAAAGACCGAAAAACGTTTATAGGTGAACATCTTCCCCAGACAGTGCAGTGGGCATTAATGTAACAGAAGGACAGTGCTGTGGGAAAGAAGCAAAAGTAAGCAGTACTTACAGTCGATTCTGAAAACGCGTTACGTTGGCTGCAAATTCGAAAGGCTTGACCTCATTCAAGGGAAGTGGAACGACTCTACCAAAGGGCAAAAACAGCCCAAACTGAAGGGAAAAGAACAGAAGACATGGACTATAGGGCTTAGCATTGCCGCCAAGAAAAAAATTACTGGTAGAAGAGACATTATTTTCATAAAGCAAAACGCTATCTGAATCGTGTGTGAAAGGTGGATACAGGAAGGGGTGGAGAATGGGACTTTCGACTCATTTTACAGAGCGACGCAAAGGAAATAAGAAAGGACTTGAGGTGGAGAAACACAGATGTAGTTTGTTTGGGACACGAATGAATAACAATGGAGTTCTCACGGTTTGCACTACCGTCAACGCGAAGTCCAGTCCCTGTTTGGACGCTTCCGTACTCATAACAACATCAGTTTGTGCACCACTATCAACAAGGACTATCAATGGGCTGGAGAGGACATAGTAGCAACTTGACAGTGAATCGGTGAGGTGCGTAGTACCAAGAAGGAACCCCCGTAAAACAAAAATGTTACGTCAGAAGTAAGACGACTGGAGATGGACGTGGGCAAATTCGTCGAGGTGGCTTTGGGGGCCACA